CAGTGCCAGGCTCGGCCTGCCAGTGTCTGGTGCACGGGCCAAGCATGGGACCGCAGGCGTGCGTGCCACTCGTCGCACCGCGGCGCCGATCGTGAGCGTGAACAATCGCGACATTCCCGAATACGATTTGTCCAACATACCCGATGAGTTCTTCCATCTGCGGTTCTCCAACAACAGTGGACCAAAAGATTGGGTCCGAGCCATCGGGGATCGGATCGGCCACAGCAACATCAAAAACGAGGGGAAGTTCTACCTCATTACCTTCCATGGCATGGGTTACAAGGTCCAGACGTCGACAAAGCGCGATGGCTTCCACATGAGTCACAAGAAGTACTTGTTGAATGTGTTGGCGCACATGGGCGTGTTTGGAGATTTGGGGCTCAAGTCGTAGAGTTGTAGTCGTCATGCTTACTATCTGATCGGCACCAAATTGCTTGCTCATGCAAGTATTTAATGGACCACCGTGTACAAAGATATGTGTGCCACTTGCCAGGATTGCTTTGCGGCTTTCGGGCTTTGACATGCTACAAACCAGCTCTGTACAGAAATCGGCTGCGCAATCGCTACATGTTCAAATAGGAACGTCGACCGTTTGAAAGTCAGATTGCTTCTCGCACGGGCATTCGTGAGCGCATACCCCAGGCGTCATTGGAGGAGTATCCCGGCAACTCATTTGTTTTAAAGTGGTGCGCATTCGTTTGATTGTGCATGTTTAAATTGACGCGCTACTATAAGTGTCGCGCATTTCTGTGAATAGCAGGAGCCGCCGCAACTAACCAACGCAGAGAATGTCAACAGTCCACCCTTTCTGAGCCGGCGTTGGTCGCGTGCGCCTCTCATTAAAGTTACGATCACAGGAAGCCAGCGGAGCAGAAGCCAGCACCAGCGGGAGGAGGGGAGGTCGGGGGGCAATTCCGCGCTCTCCCACACAAATTTGAGCTCCGGGTTGGACCCCGTGTTGCAGCCGAACTGGGAGAAGGAAGGTCGTCATTGGTTTTGGAGGGTGCTCGACGTTTGTTCTATACTTCCATGGGTGTCCTGGTTGTCTCCTCGTGCGCAACTGGGCCCAAATAGGAGCTTCTTTCCTGCTTTAACTAAGGTTCCGTCTGAAAATACTCTTAACTGCATTGATCAGAAAAGTTCAGGTCTGGATTGGGCTTCCTGTAAAAAGCCTTAGTGCGGCTTGCCGCCGCACAACTTGGACCCCGGAGACCGCCTCAAAAAATCCAAGGATCTGAGGAGCCATCTCGTCATTGAGTTACACGTTCGTTGCTTGTGCGCAGGGGTGCATGGACGGCTGAAGTAGAAGTTCTGCTTCGACGGCGGTATATGCAAAGGCGCGGATATCTCAGAGAGGCAGGGGCAGTTGATAAGAAGTTGCGTTTTGAAATCCACAATCCGAGGAGGTAGAACTGGTGGCTACACAAGCTCATACCGAGAAGAATCTTACAAATAGCAGTTGTTGTCAGTTGCCAGTACCTCTTCCAATTTCGGGCGCAGGGGCAGTCATCTTGGGGGCAAAGAGTTGTCACGACCAGGTGTTTTTCGCTGAGAGCCTCCATGATTCCTGCCGCCAGAGGGTCCACGGGCACGCACCGAGCGGCCTTTGTAACACACGTTGTTGACGTCGGGGCAATTTCATAAGTTTCTGGAGAAAGAGGAGGCTGAGGAGGAGGAGGAGGAGGAGGAGGAGGAGGGGCGCTGGCAAGGAGGAGGAGGAGGAGGAGGAGCAGCAGCAGCAGCAGCAGCAGAGGAGGAGGAGTAGGAGGAGGAGGAGGAGGAGGAGGAGGAGCGAGGATGATGAGGAGGAACGATAAGCAGAGGAGGAGGAGGAGAAAGGATGAGGAGAAGAAGGAATGATAGAAAAGAGGAGGGAAAGAGGAGGAGGAGGAGGAGGAGGAGGAGGAGGAGGAGGAGGAGGAGGAGGAGGAGGAGGAGGGGAGGAGGAGGAGAGAGGAGGAGGAGGAGGAGGAGGAGGAGGAGGAGAGGAGGAGGAGGAGGAGGAGGAGGAGAGGAGGAGGAGGAGGAGGAGGAGGAGGAGGAGGGGGAGGGGGAGGAGGAGGAGGAGGAGGAGGAGCGAGCGAACGAAGTAGCAGCCTTCCGTCAGGTCACAGCGGCGGCCGCGCAGCACCCGCGACGACGGACGGGTGCTGCCTCGGCCGCCCTCACCCCTCGCCCGGCAGTGCTTGCGGGACGTGCGAGGTCGCGCACGGACCGCCCAGGCAGCAGCGGCGAGAAGCCGGCTGCTGGCGCTCACGCAGAACAGCGTTGCCGCCGCCGCGACGGCCCTCAGGGAATGCATTGCGGGGCCCCCGGCTGGCCCGCCAGGAGTCGTGCGGGACCCAGGCCACAAGGACAGGACGTGCGCGGGAAAGAGCAAGACGGAGCCCGGCGATGCAGTCGGCCCGGATTAGCAGGTCGGCCCTGTCAGCTCAAGGGTACCCTTGCGTCTTGTGCCTCGCGACACGTGCCTTCTTACAATCCTGTGGTGATGTGGCCCTCGGAAGGGTATTGTGTCCTCTCGCGTGTCCTGTCCAATCAAGGCCGACTGTATACCCAACGCCGCGGCGACCCGCCCTGGAGCACAGAGTGGGACGAGCAGCGCGCGGCAGCCCTGCGAGCGCGGCGGGATCGGCGACGAGCCGGCTCCGAGGAGGCCCCCGGCAGCTGGGATCCCAGGCAGGACTTCGCCCACGCTGAGCTTGCCAGCTCGCTGGCACGGATCAAGCCCCGCGCGCAGTGCCGAGGCCTCCCGCATGCCTTGCTGCATAGCGCACACTTGGGCGCTTCGGACTCGCTCCTCGCGCCGCCCACCTTGACCCTCCGGCTCTGCCAAATTCCGACCATCTGGCTGGTCCAGGACACTTGCCACAAACACGAGGAGGGTTGGGCGCGCGTCGACAACGGCGGCTACAGTGCTTGGCCATATGCTCCGCAGGGGGCCGCCTCCCTGAGGAGCTCTGGGGCTGCCGCAGCCGGCTCTGGGGCTGCCGCAGCCGGCAGGACATGGAGAGCGGCCTGGGGGAGCTGCAGGAAGCTTGTGGCGAGTACCTGGAGGTCGCTGCGATCTGCGCCGCGCAGGGCCGTCCGTGCGCCGAGGTGTGCGCGGACGAAGCCGAGGCGTTCGACAGCCAGGACCGCGCGGAGGCTTTCGTCGCCATGCACGACCGCGCTGGCATCGCAGGCCGCCAATGGCTCCTGGCGGATACCAAGCTGAAGGGCACGCTCGTGGTAATCACGGGGCGCGATGGCGCAACGCACCCTTTCCGGCCGCAGGTCGGCATGCCAGAGGGCCGGGCGATGAGACCCATCCAGTACAGCGTGGCCAACGCGGAGAAGATCGAGGAGGTTGCGTCTACCGTTGGAGTGGGCCTCGGACTCGACCCCCCAGAGGATGGGCTGCTGGAGTATCGGCGGCATCGCGATGGCACCGACGCAGCCGCCCTGGACGCGCAGGAGATGCAGCACTGGGCCGCGCTCCTGGCAGATGGGCACGACTGGGACGCGCATGCATGGCATCAGCGTCCTCCGACGCAGTCCGCCTGGCCCTGCTCGATGAGGCGTCGTCCCTCCGAATAGGGCCCCGAGCATTCGTCGACGATGTCCGCGCTAAGGTGGGCTTGCGGGGCCAGCGCGGCGTCGCCGTCCAGGCGATCCAGGAGGCGTCGAGGCGGCACCGCGGCCACCTCCGACACGGACCCACGAAAACCGCAATTGTCGCCAGGGATTTCCGAGACACCCGCCCGTGGTCGGCGTGGATTTCGCCGACGAGTGCAGGTGCTTCGGAACCTTGCGGGCCTCGATGGCACCTGGCGAGCGCCACCTTGGCCGCAGTGGAGCACGCGCCGAGGGACCCCGTGCGAGAATAATTTGCTTTCGGAGCCGAAGTCCGAGACGTCGGACGGAGAATCAAGGAGAATCAAGGAGGAGGAGGAAGAGAAGGAGCGAAGAGGACCGAAGAGGGGCCAGGATAAGGGGTCTCGACGACCACAGCGAAACGAGGAGGAAGAAGGAAGAAGATGAGAATATGAGGGAGCGGGGAAGAACGCGACTCCCACAGTAAGGGGAGGGAGGAGGAGGAGGAGCGAGGAGGAGGACGAGGAGCGAGGAGGCAGAGGAGGAGGAGGAGCAGGAGGAAGAGGAGGAGTAGTGGGTAAGAGAGCAGCGAGCAGAAACGAGGAACAGGATCGAGGAGCAATGCGACGAGCGAAGTTGGGAGCAGGCGCGACGGGGAGCGAGCACGAGCGAGGACGAGCGAGGGGAGGAGGAGAAGCGGTCGGAAGCGAGGAGTAGGTGGGCGTGAAGAGGAGGTCAACCACCATAGCAAGAACAAGGGTGAATGATGAAGAGAATGAGCAAGGCAGACGTTCACGGAGCAGGAGGAGGCGGAGAAGGAGGAGGTGGAGGAGGAGGAGGAAGGAAGAGGAGGAAGAGAAGCAAGGAACAAGAAGGACCAGTGAGGAGGCAGAGCGAAGAAGAAGAGGAGGGGGTGTAGGATCAGAAAAAGTTTGGGAGTGAAGGCAGGACGCAGCAGGTCGCAGCAGCAAGAACGCGCAGCACACATCCGCAACAAGCAGCATCAAGCAGCAGCACTTCCCGTTGTTTTCCAAAGCTGGTTATGGAATTGTCGCCTATCGTGAGACACCCTTGTGCTGTCACATATTGCCCACCCCCCCCCCCGAGCGCGGAGGGAAGAGGAGAAGGGAAGAGAGATGAGGGAGGAAGAAGGAAGGAGGAGGGACGGAAGAGGAGGGCGGAGTGAGGATGAGGAGGAGGATGAACCCGAACCTTTTGAGATGCGTTCTGGCCTGAATTTCGAGACGGACCCAGCCGTGGCCACGAAGGCCCTTGGGGTTCTGGACCCCCCTCGTCATTCCCCCCCGCCTTTCTCCGCGAGGAGGAGCCTGCCCTTCTCTTCCTCCTGCGACGACGACGATTGCGATGCCGAAGACGACGTTCGCCAGCAGCATTGGCCTGCGCCCTCCGTCACCGCCTCCCAGGTCCTCACTGTGCGTCGGCGCCCCGCGGGTTTCGACATCAAGGAATGCTGGGCGTAGTGTCCAGCGGCCCGCCTGCAGTGCCCGAGCGGCCGTCGACGAGGAGCAGCAGCAGATGCTCTGAGGCACGAGGGGCACAATCGAGAGCGGAAGTGGCGTCGGAACAAAGGCGGCTCACCACCGAGAAGCCAGATGCACATGACGCGGCCACTCTGGGCGGGAGCTGGATACTCACGTGGCCGCGCGTCGTTCGCGCGCGTGGCCCTCGTGTGGCACGGCAGGCCGGCTCTCCACAGGTGTATCAGTGCGTGGTTTCCAGATGTTCCGCTTCTGAACCCAATCATTCGGGCCGGGCGAAAGGGGGGGATTGGGAAAGGGGGGGGTACGAAATTTGCTGCATGCAGCTGGTTTCGGCCTCACCGAGGGGCCCATTCCTCGATACATAGCTCCCTCCGGCGCTGGGAGGCGCCAGTAAAATCAGCTACGTGAGCTGATTCTCAAACCCCCCCTTTGCTATCCCCCCCTTTCGCCCGACCCGAATCATGTCCGGGTGACCACACCGTGTGGTGAGCCAGTGGGGATTCGGAGTGACCGCACGGTTTTGGGGCCGGGATTGTTCTCCGAGGATGTCTCGGGCGAATCGGGCTTCCAGGGTCCCAAAACCGTGCGATGACGAAGCGTGCAGTGAGGTCTCTTAGGATTTCGAGAGCACCGCACGGTCTGTCACTGCACTGTTTTTGAGACCCCCGAATGTGTGTTTTCAGGTTCTGGGTATTATTCTCCTCTCCCTCCTCTCGATGGTAGTGCCAGTGGTGTTGGTGGCATTGGCAGCGACCAGTATACACGCGCGTGCCCATAGTACCATAGCACCCCGCAGATTCGGATAAGAGTGGGGGGGCGGTGGGGACGACGGCAGTCTGCGAGACTCTGGAGAAGCCCGCCGCAGGCGCCAAAGCTTCACAAATTATACAACAGCCTGCCGCAGGCGCCGATTTCTTCGTTAAACCAATGTGGGTAGGTCGCGGGTGGGTCGCGGGTGGGTCGCGGGTTGGGTCGCGGGTTGGGTCGCGGGTTGGGCCGCGGGTGGGTCGCGGGTGGGTCCTTGTTGGGTCGCGACGCCGTTGGGTTGTAAATGGGTCGCGGGTGGTTCGCGGGGTGGGTCGCGGACGGGTCGCGGGGTGGGTCGTGGGTGGGTCGCGGGGTGGGTCGCGGGTGGGTCGCGGGTAGGTCGCGCGGTGGGTCGCGGGGTGGGTCGCGGGGTGGGTCGCGGGTTGGGTCGTGGACGGGTCGCGGGGTGGGTCGCGGGGTGGGTCGCGGGTGGGTCGCGGGTAGGTCGCGCGGTGGGTCGCGGGGTGGGTCGCGGGGTGGGTCGCGGGTTGGGTCGTGGACGGGTCGCGGGGTGGGTCGCGGGGTGGGTCGCGGACGGGTCGCGGGTGGGACGTCAACAACAAACAGCTAAAATAACAACAACAGCAGCAGCAGCAACAACAACAACAACAGCAACAACACTAATAAGTTCACCCTCATGCGCAATTTTGCCACACGAAGCATGCGACCATGATGATAACCATGCACATCATGGGGGACTCTTCTTCTATAGCGGGGTCCGTTATTCCCATTCCCAGATCTCCCTGCCCAATGAGGTCTTGCAAACACCTCCTCCGAGGAATTTCAACATATCCCGCCTCGAAAACACATGCCCGCGCATTGCTGCGCCGATACGAGACCGCCAGTGGAACCCCAGCGAAGGGCAAAGCACAAGGAATTATCGAACGACAGGATTGCCTTGGTGGGGATGGGGGTTGTCGGCAGTGAGGCAAGGACCTGGCCCTGAATAGAAAGGGGAGAAGTCTCGAGCAGGGCTGCTGTTGTTGCTGGGAGCGGCGCCAATCCTGAAGAGAGTAGGGCGCTAGTCCACCGTAAAACACAACGAACTCTCGAGCGGGAACGCTGGTTTTGTTGGGACGGCGGCTTCCGGCGGCGAGGAGGAACACCGCCTTGAGTAAGAAAGGGGGAAGCATCGAGCGGAAGCCGTGGCTTTGTCGGGACGGGGGCTGTCGGCGGCGAGGAACAGCACCGTCCCGAGGCAAAGAGAGGAAATCTCGAGCGGGAGCGTTGTTCTGGCTGGGAGCGGCGCCAACTCAAAAGAGAGTAGGGCGCCAGCCCAGCGTAAAACGGAAGAAGGTCTCGGGCGGGAGCGCCGGTTTTGTCGGGGCGGCGGTTTTCAGCGGCGAGGAGGAACACCGCCTTGAGTAAGAAGGGAGGAAGCATCAAGCGGGAGCCGTGGTTTTGTCGGGACGGGGGCTGTCGGCGGCGAGGAACAGCACCGTCTTCAGGAAAAGGGAGGAGGAAGCCTCGAGCGGGAGCGTTGTTCTTGTTGGGCGCGGCGCCAATTCAAAAGAGAGTGGGGCGCCAGTCCAGCGTAAAATGGAAGGAAGTCTCGGGCCGGAGCGCTGGTTTTGTCGGGGCGGCTGTTTTCGGCGGCGAGGAGGAGCACCGCCTTGAGTAAAAAAGGGAGGAAGCCTCGAGCGGGAGCGTTGTTTTTGCTGGGGGCGGCGCCGATGAGAGAAAGACGAGCGCGCCAGTCCAAGGTAAAACGGGAGGAAGTCTCGAGTGGGAGCGCTGGTTTTGTTTAGGACGGCGGCTTTCGGCGGCGAACAAAAACACCAGCCCTGAGTAAAACAGGAGGAAGTCTCGAGCGGGAGCGTTGTTGTTGTTGGGGGGCCGGTTTTGGCGGTCCCCCAAACAGCTCGAGCGTGAGGTTCATTCTCAATGAACATGTAGCCGGCACCTGGGCGAGAGCGCCAGGGCGCCTATAAGGGGTCCACCAATAATAATTGTTTAGTAATTAACACTCGACAGCAACAATCCGTTTAAGACTGTTCGCCCTTATCTGTTCGAGTGTCCAATAACACGTATTTCGCAAACCCTGGATACCCGCCCGCTTCGTCTTCGATCGAACCCCGCTTGGGGGGTATACCTGTCTTCCCTGCAGGCCGGGCCCCGGCAAGCGGCGGGGCGGCCGCGGACCGTCGGCTTGGCCAGCGGCAGCGCTGATCGGCGGGGCGGCCGCGGACCGTCGACCCGACCCCTGGAAGGACGGACAGGGGACCGACGACGACGACGTCGACGACGACGACGACGACGGCGACGGCGACGACGACGAAGACGACGACGACGACGTCCACGACGACGACGACGGCGACGACGACGACGGCGACGACGACGACGAGCGAAAGCCAGAGCGAGAGAGAACGACAGCAGGGCCACGAAGGGCACGAAGTAGGCCACGAAGGGCGACAGCGGGGACACGAAGGAAATGCGCATGGGGCCACGAAGAGCGCGAACGAGCGGGGGCCACGAAGGGCAGATAATGCGGGGCCACAAAAGGCAACGATGGGGCCACTGAGGGTAGCAGCTGGGCCACGTAGGACAGTGAGGGGGCCACAGAGGGCGACAGCGGGGCCACGAAGGGCATGCACATGGGGCCACAACGGGCGCGAACGAGCGGGGGCCACGAAGGGCATACGCATGATGGGCCGCGGAGGGCAAGGACGGGGCCACTGAGGGCAGCAACGGGGCCACGAAGGGCATGCATATGGGGCCACGCCGCGCGCGAACGAGTGGGGGCCACGAAGGGCATACATATATGGGACCTCGAAGGGCAGCGAAGGGGCCACGAACGGCTGCAACGGGGCCACGAAGGGATGCAACGGGGCCACGAAGGGCAGCGAGGGGGCCGCGAGGGGCTGCAACGGGGCCACGGAACAAAGCGAGGGGGCAACGAAGGGCTACAACGGGGCCACTAAGGGTTGCAACGGGGCCGCGAAGGGCTGCAGCGGGGCCACGAGGGGCTGCAACGGGGCCACGAAGGGCAGCGAGGAGGCCACGAGGGGCTGCAACGGGGCCACGAAACAAAGCGAGGGGGCCACGAAGGGCTGCAACGGGGCCACGAAACAAAGCGAGGGGGCCACGAAGGGCTTCAACGGGGCCACGAAGGGCAGCGATATCCAGATTCCTAGGTAATCTGTGAGGGAGTCCCAAGCGTGAGCGCGACTCCTGGGTGCCTGGGTGTCGGGAGCGCGGCGCTTGAGTAAATAGCTGGAAATTCCAACGCGAGGGCGCTATTCTTCAGTAAATTGCAAGCAAGTTCTCCAGCGAGAGCGCGATTCCAGAGCGCTGGGAGAGCGATTCCTGAATAAGTTGTAAGGAAGTTCCCAGCGAGAGCGCGATTCCTGAAAAACATGCGAGGAAGTCTCGGGTGGGAGCGGGGGTCCTGGCTAAATTGTGAGGACCTCCTCTCAGGCGGGAGCCGTTGTTGTTGCAACCTGGGGGCCAGGGGCGCAGTTTGAGCATCAAGATTTGCCCGGTCAAAAAACAGGGTGCGAGCGTCGAGGGGCACACTTGAATTAAGAAAAAACAGCATGCACTGGCGAGGGGGGGATCAACAGTAAGTATTTTTCAGAAATAAGAGTACAACAACAACAACAACAACAATTACTAGCACGTGGGGACACACCGTTCTCACCAGTGCCAGGGTTTTCATAGGAGGCGGGCAATACCCCCACTTTGTGGGGGGGCCGGTTCAAGCTCTACCAAATTTCCAAACGACTCTTCGCCACCACCCACACCCAGCTTCCCGCCCTATGACGTTCGGACACTTCACTTCGTGGCATGCGGACGACCGTGGCTACTATTCAGGGCCCCGCGGCCGACGACGACGGCGTGCGCGCGCGAAGAAAAAACGAATGTGTCCCGCATGGTATTATTTGACAGGGATGATGGCCCTGGCAGGTGCGCAACCGTTGTTGCAGAAGTTCGAAAAAGTTGCTCGCAAAAGCCCGTTTGACAGAAATGTTTAAAAAGTGTTGGGTTTCCTACGAATCCGCAAGAGCGCGCGGGATGAAATTTTGACATTTTTTTGAAAAACCATTGGTTTTTTATGTTTTTATGTTAAAATCGCTACGAAAACTAAGGTTTTGGAAGGATTTCGTCTTGCGCGCGCGAATGTCCACTTTATTTTATTTGTTGCAAGGGATTCTTGAAGTTTGGTTATGTTA